CTCTCCAGTTATTTTTCTAGCCTTCCTTAAAAAAGACCTAGTCATTTTTAAATGTAGCCCGAATGCTCTCTCTTCAGCTGCCAGTGTTTCCTATGTTTTTTTAGCTGACATTATAATACAGCGTTACTTAAAAACGCTCAAGCAATTTGCTGATCGCTGCGAAGTCTTCCCGTTCAATGTGTCCAGGATTCCGTCATATGTCTTGCCGCACATAAGCATATCAGCACTTTGTGCTCCCATTCCTAGCCCGCTACCTCACGTGTGAAGAAGCGGAACTTGAGAAGTTGAAAGCTGACCTGTCTCCATAGTAGATGTGGATATCGTGTAAAACTTTAATTTTGAGTATTGCATGACCTTTTCCCTTTTCCCATGACCCATTACTTAACCTATCCTTTGCTCTCCGTGAATGGAGTCATTTTATTGCTGAAAATTTATGATTTTTCATCTTAAATAAAGCCAGTATTCTCTCTCTCTGCAATGGTTGGAGACGCAGGTTTTCCGACACCACAGACCGAAATGCTGGGCCGGGTATGTGGACGAAACCTTCGTCGCAATGGAGTTGGATCAGGTGTTGAAATTTGAGATACATCTACACGCCGTCTTCCCGGACAATCAATTTACGACTAGGGAACGGATTTACTATTCCGCAAGTCAAACTTCCTACTAAATATTCTCCTTTCCGCCTACTACTCTGGCCTTCCCAAGACTTCTCTCTCTCCTCGTCTAAGGAACCGGGCCTGGAAGATTGCAGCCGTTAGGGTTAACCTTAATAGCCTTAATACGTTGCGATAGAAACACAAGCAGCCTAAGGGCCCCCTCTTGGCGAGCCAACCGGAAAGCCGCATCCAAAGGGGCGGGATACTAACGTAGGAGCACCTTGCGAACCTCCGTGTCAGAGACCCCGTTGACAAATTTTTCTAGGAGGAGGTAGACCAAAGTCTCAACGGTCAGCCCCGGATAAGCCCGCTGATCAAGCAGACGAAGCGCCTGCTGATATTGAAGGACACTTTCCATTGGTCTTTGTCGTCGATGGCGGAATTCCGAACGCAGGATCCAGGAAGGGGTTGAATCGCACAGGACACTGTGCAAGGTGGTAAAAAGGGCGTCAACGTCCTGGGTAGAAGAGGCGCCAGCAGAACGCGCGAGGTCGTAGACGTCATCATCCAACTGGGACAGGACAGCTTGATTTCGGGACGGGGTGTCCACTCCTTGAAAACAGTCTCGCGGCCGCGCCTCCCAGCGATCATAGTCAGAAGACA